CGAGGCTGCAGCACGATACTTGCAGAAGGAAAGGCTGGTTTTTCTTTTCTTTTCCAAAGTCCCTGAGCACGTGCTTCATTTTTACATCTGTGGAAACTCCTGTTTATTCCGAAGGCGCTACTCAAGCATATTACAAGTGTTTGACTAGGCTCCTGACCTGGGGAGGGTGAAAAGTGGCGGTGGCACAACTGATACAGGGAAGGTTTCATTGAATCTGCATTTTTTTCCCAAGAAGAGTGAATTAATTGAATGACATTCAGCATACATTTTTCTACATTTGTACAATTTATTACCTAGTTGAAATGGAAAGGGAAGCAATAGAGTTCTGTCAAAAGGGGAAGAGAATTATGGGGCTTCTTCTGTAGCTCTCTAGGAAAGGCAGAATACCCGTTTCATTCCTATGCTGTTCTTTGGTCGCTCAGTTGACTGTAACTGTGATAGTTGTAGCTGGGTTTTACAGGTCTTTGGAGATGTTATCAGCTCTATGGGTCTTCCCAATGGGACAGAATTCCCCTGTGTAAAGATGTTTTCTTCTTTTATGTTTCAGTCTTTCAAAGTTAACCAGAATTCTTCTAAAAAAGAAAAAAAATGCATGTTTGCCTTTTTTATTGTAGATGTATAGGTGAAACTTTGTCCCAAATAAAAATTTAATCTGAGCCACAGTTCCCTAACAATTTCTATTAAAATTGTTCCATTCATGACAGCTTCTTTTTCGAAAGGTACTCCGTTGTCTTAACAGGGCTGTTCCCCAGCAGCATTTAGAAATGACGTTTTCTGATTAAGGAAGCTGCTGTTGAACCGACGAATATTCTTTTCTTTTAAGACTACAGTCAAACATGAGCCACGGAAAGCACTCGGCCACTGAAACCTTCACAGCACTTCTCACAGGAGCACAGACACCCAAGTGTCTTGGCTGGGATTGAGCTGGGGTAGTCACATTCTGTCTGTATTTCTTCTGTGGTTTCATCTCGGATGGGCATCGCTCCTTATTTCCCTCTGAAAACGATTAAGCAACGCCTGTATTTGACTTCCAGTATCGCTGAGTTTCATCAGTGAAAGTACAGAAGAGCACGACGCACCTTTTGCCGGTAGGAGCAAGCGGTGGCAGGCAGGCAGGGAAGGACACGGGGCTGAGCTCCTCGGTCCCCGACACTCGCTGGCCGGCTGCAGAGCTCTGCCTCAATCGCACGACAAGGTGGTGTGTGGGGCGCTGAGATGCGTAAAACAACCTGCTTAGGAGGCTGAGGCACCTTAAAGTTACACATCAAAGCTTTCAACCATCCAAGCCTGTTTTTGCTTCTGGCCCACAGCCCATAAGGCGGCTGCCCTTGCCAGCGCTTCCCTGTTGCTGCCACCGAGAGGAGTAAATTCAGTATTGCCCATTCCACATACTGGGGAATAAGGCATCGAGATGCAGGGTTTTCTGATTTGTGTGCTGCTTTTTGTGTTAGTAGGATGTGCACCTCTGAGCTTTGCACCACAGCTGACAGAGCTTGGTTGGGAATATTTATTTCTACTGCATTTAAAATAAAAAAGTCTGGCACCAAGAAGCGGGCTTTAAGAGCAGTACCAAATACCGTGGAAGTCTCATGAAAATGTTGAGTGACAGCAACCCTGCAAATTGGAAGCAGCAGCCATGGAAAATTTTAGCCAAGTGCTGGACCGGTGCTTAAGCTTTATGTGATTCTCCAGGCCTTTAAGCCCCAGCACTTTTGCTCCAGTGATAGAAAACTTCCTCTTATTTTGTTAGTTTTAGCCATAAGTAGGAGTTATTTAACGGGCATTAGTCATAATGTCACGGATATTACACTGCTGAGGCAACTTGGGAGCTTGTGTGACCTCCATCTGTGCTGGTGGCCACATGGATTTGACCCCCTTTTCCTGCTGCTTTTTGGATTTCCCTTTCTAATTCCTTAATGTCAAGCGAAGCCCATGTGTTATCGTCCCTAGCAAACGGTGGTGGTTGGGCAGCGTTCAGGTGCTGCAGCAGGAAATGAGCACATCGTCCTCCCAGCTCCTTGCAGAGCTAAATAAAGATTTACAGGGCAAAAATAAAATGATGTAATGAACCTGCCACAAACGGGACACTAACTGGAAGGTATTAAAAGGCAAGAACGTGCTGTGTTATTGAACTGATTGCCTGCGTTTAATAACCAGCAGATAAACCTGCTAAAGTTTGGCTTGGGCAGCTTAAGACATTAGAAATACCCTTAGCTCATGTACTGTGTGACTGCTTATTAAGGCGTAAGTGAAAGATTGCTGTCTACTGGGTAAAAGTGTTTATACTGCAGGAAACAGATTAAGTGGTGTTTTAACATACAGGAAAAGGAAAAGTGGTAGCTTAAAAGCAAAAACCAAACCCCCCAAACAAACATTATTTGTATTGGCTTGGGGTGAGAAACAGCTGTTAAGATGTATTTCACACAGCTTGTAATGGGAAATTAATTGCAGTGAAAAAACACAGACTGCCCAAAAGAAATTATTACACATAGCACATTTTTTCTCTTATTTGTTAATGGATAGCTTAAGGGTTTTAAGTATTTTTTCACACATTAAAGAAAGACCAGAAAGCTGATAGCCCAAGTTGATAAAATCTGGGCAAGGCTCAGAAAACCTAACTTCTTACAGAAAAAGCATTTCTTCAAGTGGATTTTGTGTTGCCAAACAACTGCTACAGGCACATCTTTTTAAAAGGTAAACCCTGTCTTTTCAGAGGAGAGTCATGTCTTCCAGAAGCTCAGCTATGAACTACCTTTTATGTCCTTTTAATTTCATTTGATGTCCAAGATAGCTCTATCCCAGCATACAGAATATGTTCTGAATTCATTTCCGGATTTCTGAATTCCAATTTTTCCAAGTTATTTCCAGACTCAGCAAAGTGGAAATCTTGTACAGTGGTGCAAATTTTTTTTGGGAATGGTGGCTGAAAACTATTGCAAGAACAGCAGCTGAAGGGTACTGAGGGACCCAGACCTGGATCTCTGCCCTCAGTCTTGATGTAGAGAACCTTACCTAGGATGTGCTTGTGAACCAGTGTTGTGCGTTAACATAAAAGTCCTTGGAAGAAGAGCAGTGGCTTTCCAATTGCAGTGAAGGGGCAGCAGTATTTTTCTCATTCGTTTAGGAAACATACCGTTTCTGTATCATGAAGTAGATTTCATTCTAGTATAAATATAAACAAATATACCAGATGCGAGTAATCGTTTGCTTTTTCAAAATCTCTTGATTTTAAAGCAGCTAGCCATTTTATCTGAATTAAAGGGACTATCCATGCTATTACAGCCTTTTTGGCCAAACCATACAGTGTTTCACTGAAATATGTCAGTATAACAGATGTGTGTTATCATCACTGTGGCCTTTTTACTCACAGCATTGCTATCTAGCTAAATGCTCCTTATAGACAAATATACGTGACTTACCTAAATTGAAATATCTAATTGAAAAATAGCAAGTAACATGATAGTCAGCATGGGACTAACATAGAAATGGTGCTGCATCTGATGTGCTAAATCACTGTTAATCTTTGTAAAATGTCCACATTTCAGCCTAGTAGTGGATAAGAGGGGATGGCTGCTGGACCACTGCGTGCTGACAGCATGCTAGTGTGCTGCTGTTGGGGTGCTTCTATTCATAGGGATAGCAAACAAAAAAAAAAAACCAACCACTGGTTTGAAAAAAATTCTATTCTGCTACAGAAAAGTTCCACCAAAATATTGAAATTCTACGTGCTAACAGTACAACCAAAAATTATGTTAATATAGTCTGTTGAGTCTTGCGTTTTAAAAAGCGGGGATTTTTTGTGTTGCTGCATCCGTTGAACTTTGATTAGGCTCTTCTGCATTACCTGAAGAATAAAAGTAATGAAATAAAAGGTATAATCCCTGATGGGATATTCACTTCCCTATTCGTGTGGCAGGACGCAGGCAGGGAGGCAAACTCAGAAACCTCTCTTCCCCATCCAGCCCCAGAACTGGCACTGCAGAAAAAAACTCTTCCTTACGGGATTGAGGGGAGGGGAGGGAGAAAGGTAAAAGGAATTAGTGTCTGGACTCAGCTGCTGCAAAGCATCTCTTTATGCTGGCTTGAAGGTCAATTGAGACATATAGGAGTTTCCTGGCAGAGTTCGGTCCATCACTGGCCATTATAATTTGCCATAGCTGGAAGTTGAATGTATATGAAATCTGTTTTTCTGTGAAGACGGGCTCAGGTGCAGTAATACTGCTCCTTAGAGCTATTTGAGTCAGAGAATGAGATCCCCCCAAAAGTTACTTGTGCACAGAGCACTCAGGCTGGGATTAGTTCTTTCTTTTGGGACTTAAAGCTGATTCATCATCTACTTACAAGAAGTCACAAAGGAGTTATTAGTTGTATCAACAACATAGTCTTCAGAAGAGTGCTCAGGCGCTGGGGTACGTAGTTGTTGCCACGTACTGATGGAAATGAAACTTAGTGTTCAGTTAATATAATAGACTCCTAAAACCGGGTTTGTTTCCTTAAAAATCAAGGTTGAAACTCAGTAGTGGGTGTGTTAGGCCAAAACTGCAAGCAGTTTAAAATCATCACGTTCAACTTAACTCGGAGGAAGGGTGACCAAGACTTGCTTCTTGGCACAGCCTGCCTGTTCCGATACTGCAGTTTCCATTTGAAACCACTGAAGTATAAAGGTGGGCATTTGCTCACTGACCAAGAAATTAATGCTAAACGTAAGAATTTCAGTGTGGCATTTTGGCCTTATCTCTGAATCGGCTTTTGTAGTTCCCAACTAAATAGTGTGTCTGGCTGTAACCTGTTTGTTTTTACACCTGTAGTTAAACCTGGCCCCTGCTGTGAACCGAGGTAGTCCTTTGAGGTCATGGAGCACCTCTGGCGTAATGTCTTTTTGGCGTGTACTTGTGTGTAGGATGGGGCCCTGCCCTCCATGGGAGCTCTGCATCTGTTGTGCCCAGCTTTTTGAATTTTTGGGAATTATGGTTGGGTTCTCACACAAATCTCAATTTCAGCAGGGCACTCACTTTGCGGCAACCAGGACAGCTCTGTTGAGACAGCTCCAGAGGAGGCAGAAGCGCAAGACTTGGAGTCATCTGATGAAGCCGATAAGATGAGCAAGGTGAGAAAGTTTCATTTTCACATGACAAGGAGCGAAGGCGCAGTCAGCCACAGCTGATGTGCTGGCTTCACAGCTGCACACCATTAGAGCATCTTTCCTGGGAAAATGTTAATCTTACTTTTAAGGTGTTTACGGATGATACTGAATGTAACAAATTACAGCTTTGATTATGGCACATCACTACCTCTTAAGCAAGACTTGTGCCCTTTTTTTCAAGGGTTCGTTCACATCTTCAGTATCTTGTGATAATATTCCCACATAGTTTTAAATGGGCTGGTTATTGCCTCCCTCACCGGAACTGGTCAGCTAAACCAAAAGATCAGGTGGATTATTACAATTTCTTATTCCTTATTGATTTCTAGGCATAGGAGGAATGTAAGTTAAACAGTATTTCCTTAAATCAATAGCATAGTGCACATGCTAGTTTTCAAATGCAAACTAATTATAGCCAATCTACCTTAAATTGCAGCAAAACTCTCCAATTATAGCTAAGAGGTTGTGCAAATGGATTGCTAATTGCCATCTATTAAGGGATGGGTTTCGCTGTGGTTGGTAGTTTGCACTTGCTGTGGTGCTGGGGAGCTTTACACAACATTAGGTGTGATGATTAGTGGTTTTTGAGGCAGAATCAAGTGATATTATTTTAAAGATGCTGATTGCTTTTAGGTATTTGTTGTATAGGTGCTGGTGAGAGCTTATAGTTATTTTTCTACAGAATTAATGATCTAGTGAGAATCAGATCTACTCTATGCTTACATATAGGTGTGGGTTTTTTCAGCTGTTGTTTTAACTAAAACGTGTTATAGTGAGCTGTGAGCTGGTTCCTGTGCTAGTCTACTCATCGTTGTAGCAAAAGGAAGGAAAAGACCTTGGCCTCTTGTTTCCTGATCTCTTTATGTCATGCTAGCCTGTAGTTTTGTCTTTGATAGCCAGACAGTGGAAGTCAGATAAGAAAAAACATTCCTATGCATGAAATATATGCAGAGTTTGCATGCAGAGAAGGAGATTACTTGTACAGTTTGTTTCCAGGTTTTATTACGGAACTTATTCTTGTAAGTACAAAGAATTTCTTTTTCAGCAAGTGGAAGTGTATGTTGATACTCTGGGATTTTTAACTGTAAATACGTGGGATTTTCACATGCTCAGAAAACAGTCTCTGTGCTGAAGCTGTGGAAGAGCACCGAGCGTAACACGTTGCTGCTTGGGGAATAAATGTTCTCGCTGTGTTTTCCATAGCTTTCTATTTCTGAACTGTGTGACAGGCTGTGGGGCTCCATTTTGCATCTTGCCTCCTGGATCTCAGAGCTGTAGTTGCCTGAAGCAAGGCGTAAGGATTACACGATTAGCCCTGTGGCTCAGCAGATTTAGTTAAACTGCGTTAGCAGCTCTAATGTTTAATATTCGTATATTGGAAGAGTAACTTGTAACTCTAATAAGCCTTGGTTTCCAACGAGATGAACATCTGTCTTTCTGTAAATGAAATGTTGACATTGGTACATGTTTTCTTTGAAAATTCAGAAATATGTCTTGTTTTGTTTGTGTAATAGAGAGTGAGGCATTTTACTTTGCATTCTGTTTGTTACGGTACAAACTGCTTGAAATGGTCTTCCGCAAAACACGAAGGAGACATGTACATGTAGAGTGTGTGTACACATATATATAAATATATATATATATATATAAAAAACGTGCTCAATTTGGCAAACTCATGAATGCCATTGCCCCTATTCCCATGGAAAAGCTCTGTACTATGTGGGCTTTCTTTGTGATTCCTCTCTAGCAAAAGCTATAAAACCCCCCAAATTATTCTGCAATGCCTATAGAGAATTACAGTATATGGTAGAGGGGAGGGGGAAAAAAGCTCAATCAACGGGAGGGTTTTCCTAAGCCCTTTGCTTTTCTGTGTGCTTGGGAAAGCTGATCTGCGCGGGGAGTAAGGAGTCTGCAACACGTGTCTTCCCATGGGAAGTCACCACCCGGTTGGTACGGTTGAGGAAAAAAGCCCTTGCCCACTATAAAACAGATGTCTTTCTGTCCATGCACTGCCACACCTTTCCATGCTCCTAGGATTATGGTGCAGAAGATTTAAGCAGATGTCCTCAGCGCTGTTTTATATGGGTTATTTTTGTACGTGGGAAGTGAAACGCTCTGCCCTCATACCACCAGGAGGGGCATGTTCCCTTGTGTTGTCATCACTGCCACAGCTTCCAGTCTCCCTTGGACGGTGGAGTCCAGGGAAGATTTTCTTTACTTTCTGCCCTTCTTGGCAAAAGCAGGGCAGGAGCACTCTTATCTATTCACTACTGGGCAGTAGAGGAAATCCATTTTAAACTGCGCTGGAGCCTGCCAGGTGAATGCAGAGTTCCCCTTCTTTCAGCACAGATGCAGCATTAGCAGCTGAAGATCTGAAAATAGCATTTGGGTTGTCTTTTGCCTTGCGATAGCACGATCCTGAGGCAGGGCTTAATCCTGCAAACACAGGTGGTGCTGGTGGTCTGCTGATGCCCGCAGAGCGCTGCAGAGGAGGAGAGCTCCGAGCTTCTCCAAGGAAACTTCCCGGCTCTCCAGCCAGCAAAGGCGATCCTAGGGGAGAGTTAATAATTCATGGGAAGCGGAGAGGAACACAGTGCCGCAGGTCTCCTTCATCTGCTCTTGTAGCACAAGCTGGGTAGGCTTTTTATGAAGGTAAGCTGTGTGAAATCCTACCAAAAGCTGGGCTTGGGTCCCTTCTGACTTACCTGTAATTTTATCACGTAGGTGATTGATAGGTGGATGTACAACATAGGAGGTACTTGAATGTGCCTTCCCTTCTCCTCCTCCTCCCTCCCAGCTGTCTCTTTCC